ATCAGAGCAATTTAACATACAGACCATCCCACAGCAGGGGGTGTTTCAAGAGAGGGTTTCTCTACATAGCCCTAGCTATCCTGGAACTCTCTCTATAGACCAGGCTGGCCTCAAACTCACAGAGATCTGCCTGACTCTGCCCCCTGAGTGCTGGAATCAAAGGCATGTGCCAACACTCAGGAGGCAGAGCCAGGTGGATCTCTGTGAGTTCGAGGCCAGCCTGGTCTACAGAGTGAGATCCAGAACAGCAAGTACTACACAGAGAAACCCTGTCTTGAAAAACAAAAAACAAAACAAAACAAAAATTTAAAAAAAGAAAGAAAGAAAAGAAAAGGTGTGCACCACCACTGCCTGGCTTAACAAACAAAATAATTAAATGCTTTCTTTTATAAAAATTGCTTAGGTCATGGTGTCTCTTCACAGCCATAGAACACTGACTCTAACAGGAAATTTAGTAAATACCTTGATTAAAAACACAGTTTGGCAAGCTAGTGAATATTATAGCTAACCAACAATGAAGCCATCAAGCAGTTCTGAAATGATATTAAAATCAAGGTTTTCTGAGCACAGTTAGGTAAGTTTTATTCTTGATTTAAAATTTTTTGATTCAGATGCAGGGGGAGAATTTACCTTCCACTAACGATGTGAAAAGATATCCTCGTTTTTTAATTTTATTTTTGTTTGGTTTTAGATTTATTTAATTTATGTCTGTGAGTGTTTATCCTGCATTCATGTGTGTGCACTATGTGTGTGTCTAATGGCTGCAGAGGTTAGAGGCCATATCAGATCCCCTGGGACTGGAGTTACAGATGGTTGTGAGCCAGCATGTAGGTGCTGGGAATCGAACTCAGGTCCTCTGTAAGAGCAGCCAGTGCTCTTAACCACTGAGCCGTGTCTCCAGGCTGAAAAGCGATCTAATATGCCAGAACGTTGCGGTTTCGGTCTCTCTAGAACGGACACTTGGACTGCGTGGAACTCCTTGCTGACCAACAGAAGAGGAAAGCAGCCTGCCTGGTCACATTCTCCCAAAATTAAACTGAAGTTTGGTTAATCTGAAACTAAAGCAGCAAATAGTGTATTTAGTGGTCATCAAATATCTGAGAAAGTGCTCGGTATCTTTCAGGCACCAGGAAGATGCAAATCAAAACCACACTGAGATCCTGAACTATCACGTCATCAAGAAAAGAAACACGAGGTGATGCACACCTTTAATCCTAGCTCTCAGGAGGCAGAGGCAGGCCAAGAGAGAGAGAGAGAGAGAGAGAGAGAGAGAGAGAGAGAGAGAGAGAGAGAGAGAGAGAACCTGGCAGGTTCCTGGAGAGCCACTGATCCCCAGTCAGTGGCGGAAGCCTGGAAATATGGTTCTGATACCAGCCAAAGACTCAAAAGGAGCAGAGCAAATCAAAAGAGCATGGAGAGAGAAAGAAAAGGCCAGTGGAGAAGAAGGCGGCCATCTTCCTCCTGACTTGCCCTTTTCGTCTGAGCTGCTACCAAATGGTTCAGCAAATTGTCTAAACCAAGCAGCACACTACCCGCCCCCCTTCCTGAGGAAAGACTCGAAAGAACTGAGGTCAGATTACTACAGAGATATACCCGCGTCTATGTTCTTCCCAACAGCTAAGGTGGGATTCAGCCTAGACACTCACCAACAGGTGCATGGATAAAGAAGATGCGGCCCACAAAGATCATGGGGTGTTAATAAGTCACAGAGAAGTCAGATAAAATCCCACGTGGAGACAGGAGCTGGACACCAAGTCGGACAACTATCGGCAATTGAAAGATACTGGGAGAAAGAAAGAAGACAGTTTTTTAAGGATGTGGCCCTGGCTGTGCCCCAGTGATGGCCACTGTGCTGGCTGCTCTCTGTCAACTTGACACACAAACCAGAGGTATCTGGAAGTTACCCCTCAGTTGAGAAAAACGCCTCTGTAAGATCCAGCTATCAGGCATTTTCTTAATCAGTGATGGACTGGGGAGGGCCCAGCCCATTGTGGTGGTGCCATCCCTGGGCTGGTGGTCCTGGGATCTGTAAGAAAGCAGGCCGAGCAAGCCATGAGGAGCAAGCCAGTAAGCAGCACCCCTCCATGGCCTCTTTATCAGCTCCTGCCTCCAGGTTCCTGCCCTGTTTGGGTTCCTGTCCAGATTTCCTTTGATGATGAACAGTGTCTTAGTGTTTTATTACTGTGAAGAGACACCATGACCACAGCAACACATATAATTGAGGCTGGCTCACAGTTCAGAGGTGTAAGTCCATTATTGTCACAGTGAGAAGCGTGGCAGAGGGCAGGCAGACATGGTGCTGGAGAGGTAGCCGAGAGTTCCACATCCAGATTGGCAGACAGCGGGAAGAGAAAGTGACACTGGGCCTGGCTTGAGCATCTGAAACCTCAAAGCCCATGTCCAGTGACACGCTTTCTCCAATTAGGCCACACCTACTCCAACAAGGCCACACCTCCTAATAGTGCCACTCCCTGTGGGCCTATGGGGGCCATTTTACTCAAACTACCACAAACAGCAATATGGACATATTAAAAAAAAAAAGCCACTACAGACTCGGGAGGCAGAGGCAGGTAGATTTCTGAGTTCAAGGCCAGCCTGGTCTACAGAGCGAGTTCCAGGACAGCCAGGGCTACACAGAGAAACCCTGTCTAGAAAAAGAAAGAAAGGAAGGAAGGGAGGGAGGGAGGGAAGGAAGGAAGGAAGGAAGGAAGGAAGAAAGAAAGGAAGGGAGGAAGGAAGGAAAGAAGGAAGGAAGGAAAAGAAAAGAGGACACAACGTTGGTTTCTAAGTAGAGAAGGGAGGTGTGTCTGGGAGGAGCTGGTGTAAGGGGGTGGACATGATCAAAAATACACTGCACCAAATTCTCAAAGAACAAATAAAAAGAAAGACTAATGAAGGACTAGGAAAGGTGATCAAAAGACATCACTTGCATGTGTTCAAATATCACAGGGCAACTCTTTTGTCTGATTAGTGAAGTGTCCTCAAAGGAAGAGGATTGAGTGTTATATTTACAGTGATCTCTATAATGTCTATACAGGTCACTCTGGTAGAGACTGGCAGTCTGCACCCCTTATCCAGACAGAACCAGGTACCTCAAATTTCAGCACACAAACTCCCTGCAATTAGTAAGAACCTGGTTAAATTGCCCTGGATAGTATGTCATGTATAGAGGGGCTGGGTGGGGGTGAGGCAGTTGTAGTGAAGATCACTAAGGCCCTTGTGTACTTCTCTGAAGCAATTTGCCAAGTCCTCCATTCTAGCTCTGCGTGAAGCACCCCCCTGGAACCCGCTTGCAAAGTGTGCCTTTAAGGAGAAGTTGGATTCGTTCGCCCCTGCTTACACACATATATGGTGTCCCTGTGTGCATTTCAGCCTCTGCAGTTGCAGGTCAGGTACCCACGACACATCAGAGGTAAAATGCATTGCCTGCCTTCCCACGCCAGGAATGAGCTGACGGTGTTCCTAATTATTATTCATAATTACTGAATTCAGCATCTTCCTATGTCAGCATCTCAAAGATTACCTCTGAACAGCCTGATACAGGTGAAATGGCTTTTGCAAATTCAGTTATTATTAAGTTTGGACTTAGCATTAATGCAGAATTCTAAACCAGAGTCTTTGAAGTTTAGACACCTTTTTCTTTCCCCAAAGATACATTTTTTTTGGTAGAGGCTATATTTAAACTTCAAATAGCCTTGTGATGGCCAATTAATGGTACTTTATTTTAAGATTTATGCTTTAAGTTTTAACACCCGACTCTCAGCGTCCATCAGTACACGAATCCGAAGTGATCTCATCAGCACAGTGAGTCTTTTTGTTGTTTTTTTAAGTGATTGGTTTTGTTTTGTTTGTTTTTTGTTTTTTTGCTGTTGTTTTCGTTTTGTTTTATCTTCAAAGACCTCAAGTTCAGTGAACAACAGCAAAAAAAGTTTCTTTAAGCATCAGAAAAACTTTCACACACTTCTTTTCATGTTTGACTCTGATGCTTTTTCCTTTTGTCTGAAAGTCAGAAGAGCCTGGACTTCAACGTACCGAGAGAGTGTCGAAAGGAATGTAGCTCACTTCTTAAAAGGCTCAAGATCTGACTTGATTGTGTGATAAATAAAATATTTTGTGTCTCAAATTCTGTTTGAGTTCTTAGTCAATCACAGGCTGCAGGGAAAGAGAGTGAGGCCGTCGGGCCCCACCTGCCGACGGCCAGTGGCTGCTGCTGCGAGCAGGGGTTGCGTCCTTTCCCAAACTGTCTGCTCTCATCCGCGCTTCAGCCCTTCTCCACAGACCGTTTCCAGTTAGTGAAAAAAATAAAGAATCTATACTCTGCCAAGGAAATCCTGCTTGTCTTTCTGGAACATCATTTAGGATTACACTCGGAGCTTACACGAAGCCCGCTGTTTAAAAAGCTGCTTTGGGGTGTGAGCGAGAAAGACGCCACAGTGGCATTGAGTGGGTGTGAGACCCAGACTTGAGTTTAAGCGGGGAGCTCTGTGCTTTAAAACTCGACCGTGGTTATGAGGAAACGGAGCAAAGTTTAAAGTATTCGGTGGCTGTTTCACCTGATGAACACAAGGCCACACTTGGAACCCTTACCATCTGTCTGAATGTCACTTGAAAACCTCTCAGCACGGACCCTGGTGTCCTTCATGTATGTGTTAGCAAGGAGTTTTCTCTCATTTGCATCGTGTATAAAAACTGCTTCTAAAGCGTTCCCAGTCCGTTCTTGGTAGATCTATATTGCTTCACACTTTGGGATCCGTACATATGTTCAGATTAAGAATGGGTACGAGTTGCTCCAGGGGCTTCGAAGAAAAACATCAAGCTATTAAAATATTGGTTATCTAATAAGGCTAAAGTGCTATTTACACCACCCTTTTACACCAGGATGGACGTGCTGGCCAGGAACACAACTCTACGTTTAAAATAAAGTGAAACAAACAAAATGTAAGGACAGGGGGGAAAAAACCCAACAGGCTCCCCAGTGACAAGCGTCGGTGTCCCTTCATGCCAGGGAGGTTTCAGCTGAGCATGCTCAGACACATGGGAGGCACCAGACTCTATCAGAACTCCTTCCAAGGAGCAAGGAGGACACGTCGAAGAACGCAGCTGCTGCAAGCCTACCGCTCTGTCCTCTGATTCCGGCGGCGCCTCTCTCGCTCAGATTGATTGCTATGTGGCTCCTACTTCAGATCATCGTTCTGACGGGGGTCAAAGGTAAGGCTGCTGCTTTCTCACTTTACACGACTACGATTCCCAAAGATTAGAAAATCGTTCTGTGATGTTTGCAATAGACTCAATGCAGGGTTTGAAAAACAGACACTCCAATGTGCATCCCACAGAAATGATCATTATGAGGAGCCTGAAGCTCCGCACAGCCTCGCAATTTCCGAATGCAACATGCCTTACCAGAAACTTGACTTTTCATGTTGTTAGAACTCAAGATGAGCTGTATTTTAAAAATCAATGTTGACATACCAATTATAGCAGAGAAAAAAATGTATTTTAGTATTTCCTTCTGAGAGAAGGGTAAATTTGTAAACTGAAAGATGGTTTTGTATAAATCCAACCTGTTGAAATATGCCTATAAAATGCATGTAATCAATTGTTAGTGGCTGGGTTGCTTTTTTTTTAGTGTGTTGTATATCTGTTTGTTTGATTCTGTTCATCTAAACTAGGGACTGCAAACCACAAGCAAATAAAAAAAAAGCCTCCTTAAGAGTTCACCTATGTAAAGTAGTTATTAAAATATAAAAATGTGTATTCTTACATAACTTTTTTACCTGTTCTGAGACTTGGAAAACTGATGTAAAGTGCTCACCTCCTAATCAGTAGTTTCAGGCTTTTAGAGCTAGGAACAGCTAAACTGTTTCAAGTTGAAGTAAACATCTAATTTTCCACAAAGTTATACACTTAACATCCACTCCCATGGCAGTGAACTCATTATTACTTTGGCTCAAAATGTATTCAGTTAATTCATAGTTTTTCTTTCAAACTTTTGAGAATAAATATTAGAATTTGAAATTCCTGAAAAAAAACTCTTTTTTTACTACTCAGTTTAATTAAACAAATTCCGAGTGAACGGTTTTCATCTTTAAGTAAAATGTACTGCTTAAGAGCACAGACACAATTTCTGAGCATAAAATGCAGTATTTAAGGACAACTACCAACAGATTTTTAAATATTTCAGTCTTATTTTGAATTTGTAATGACACTAAAATTTTGTTTCACATTGCGTGTAAAAGGCCCTACCCCAGTGTACACAGCACGGCTTTGGATTTTGTGTTTTAACCTCTCTTACATGGAAATCTGTTCTCTAATGAGAAACAATAAATTCAGCTTTCAGGAAACCACGGCTTTAGAAACAGGGGTCTGATTTGGTTGAAGATCTCAATTCAGAAGGCCGTGTTCTGTCCCCATTCAGTTTAGGAGGATGGTCAAGAAGGGAAGAGTGAGGAGAAGGCCCCTGCACTCTCTAACAAGCCCTCCCTCGATGCCCAGAACTTAATGATCACCAACGCCCTCACTCATCTTCCTGCGCTTGGGTGTGCTGACCCCAAAGCTGCTCTAACGTTAGGGCTAATAGTTTACTGCAGCGATCGGCTCGGAAAAGTAGCGGGACAGAGAAGAAATTTAAAACAGATCATTTTGGATTATTTCTGGGGGCCTCATTTTAGATTTATACCTCAAACCTGATAAACGTTTATTGATTAATTATAATTCTCTGATACATTTTATTTTCTAAGTTTGCATTACTTTTCCACGTCTTCAACCTTTATGTTTACCGTGAGTGGCTTTAGAAGTGCGACGTGCTAGTCAATACTGGCGTCTTACGAAACTGTAATTATTTGTTTTATAATTGCTAAAGCTCTTGTATTTTCTCATTCAATTCCTGACATTTAAAACAGTGAGGCTCTTTATTATAACCAAATGAAGACCATTACTTTTTTTCCCTCAGAATAAAAATTGCTTTCCTGAGTTAAGTTTGTGATCACTTTTTATAATGAGCAGTTTAAACTACACGACCGTTTTTCTCTTTGGACCACGATCACTCGAGTGCTCAAAAAGTAAATTATATTTACTGTCTTAACCAACAACTTAGGTTGTCTTAGCCAGCAGTCTCCAGGCATCTATCATGATGTGCACTTTATCATTAATTATTTCACTCTGGTTTATGGCTAACCTGACCCAAACCACCTTAAAAGGAATTTTAATGAATGAATAGGGACAGTGTTTCAAGCTCAAACAGTGCGCCTCTGTAGAAAATTAAAGTATCAAGTACGGAGACTCCTACTTGATAACTACCAACGGCCATGTCCTAAAATCGTTCCCTACTCGTCAGTGAAAGTGATAACGCAAAGCAGAGCCCCGGCGGCATTTTGCGGTGAGCAGGGTTTGAGTGCCCCCTAGTGGCCAAGTTGCAGCTAGGCCTTGAGGGGTGCCTTCCAAACCAAGGGTTCTTTTAACTTGGGCGCTGAGACTACAGAAAAGCTTCTCCAAGCACATTTTAATTTCACACAATTGCACCCATGCTGTGCCTAGCTGTGAAAATCAATTGTACTTCAAGCCAATCTTCTTGAAATTCTTTCTCGCCATTAATGGAAAAATAAATTTGCCTGCTTGAGGCAAAAACAGTGTCTGTTTGGGGTGGGTAAGCTGGGACCCCAAAGTCAAAGCATTCTCGGGTGTGTTACTTCCAGAGTACTGACTCTGCTGCGTGCCTCGCTCAGGTGCGCCCCGCTCAGGTGCTCCCTCACGGTGAAGGAGCATGGCCAGCTGTAGCAAAGACTTTCAAAACACCTTCCACCTGAATCCCAAACACAAAACAGGGACGCGGCAAGCAAGCTAATGCTGAAAAAAATAAACAAAAAAGCAAAACCCTGCATGCTTTCTAAATTTTGAAAAATGCTGTCTCAAGTAAAACTCAACTAACAACGAATTATTTGGGGGTAAAGTAGTTATGTAAAAATAAAGGCATGGAGCTTTTAGAATGAGCCAGGATTGCCAAACTTCATGTTTTCCTTATTCAGTAAATGTGGAACTTGCTAACTAAGCAGAATCAATGTGCTTGTCTTACACAAGATAGACTAGTGGAGGTACAGGGATAATTATGTGAAAATTAAAAAAAAATGTTTTTTTCTGTGTGTTTAATTCACAGGGCATTAATTTCTCATGGCTATACTTCCAGGGGAGGGAATCTTGGCGGGTCTTTGTATAAAATGTCCCCCCAAAACAATTGATTTTGCATTCACATGATAAATAGGCATTTGAACGGTTAACGCTAGAAAAACACTGCAGTTGAGAAATTAGCCATGTTGTGAAGAAAAGGGCCGTTAAAACGTGTTCAATGACAACTGATAGAATTCTGGCCCTCCTTTATTCTCTGGTCCTCCTCCTGCCCACTGACCCCTGACGTGGCTCCGTCCTGGTGATGCCCGCTCCCTTCGCTCCTACTCCTAAGTAGGAATGTTCTGATTTTGTTGTGTTTTCCTTTTTGCTTTCATTTTTACTTCACCTTTTTAATTGGCTTGTAAAACTTGTATCCATTTAAGGGAGGGGGGATCATGTGCTGTATCTCTCTCTATGTGCCTATGATGCGATGTTCAAATCAGAATAAACAAATATTTCGCACATACTTTTGATTTCTTTACAGCCAAATCCTCTAAAAGCCCTTTACTTTTTACGGGCGTGCATTGATTGTGCACATCAGCAGGACCCAGTGTGATGGCTCCAGAGCGCACCAAGCAAAACAGGGTCATTTGAATTTCCCTGTCTTTCTCGTCTCCTCATGCTTGGAGTGTGTGAGCACCTATCTTCCACACAGAGAGAAATAATGCACATTCTCCGATGTAAAAGTTAAGAGAATCGCCGGGCGCTGGTGGCACACGCCTTTAATCCCAGCACTCGGGAGGCAGAGCCAGGCGGATCTCTGTGAGTTCGAGGCCAGCCTGGTCTCCAAAGCGAGTTCCAGGAAAGGCGCAAAGCTACACAGAGAAACCCTGTCTCGAAAAACAAAAAAAAAAAAAAGTTAAGAGAATCTCCTTGGATGTACAGCACTGGTTGCTGGAGGCTGAGGAGACTCGAGGAAAGGAGATTGATAGAAATAACCAAAGCCGAAGGGCACTGCTGCTGTCCACAGCATGGTGGTATGACCACAGGTCACCATGGCCTGTCGGTGATTTGGGGAAGTCACTGCTTCGTGGGTTCACTTCCTGTGCACTTCCCCTCTGCTCGCCTGTGTGCCCCTCCTCCTATCATGTCTCCACCCCAGCTGAGCTCTCTTTTCTGCCTGGTCTCCTTCCTCTGAAATCTTCCCGGTTTTCCATGTCGGTGTTTCCCCCCTGTCTTGCCCCATTTCTCCGCTCCCTGCGGACCCTGCCACATCCAGCCTGACTCCCGGGGCTGCTCCATCAAGGTCGTTCACATCTGCGTCTGCATTTCCACTTGGGGACCCATCCCTTTCAGCAAGACCCCGCTTCAACATTCCTGGCCTCTCACCACTCAGTCTTTGCTGAGCTTCCTCCCCACGGGCTTCCTCTAGCTTCCTGCTTCCGGTTCAGCTCTACTTCCCTTCCTGGCGTTTGTGGCTGTCCCCTTGCGTCCTGGCCTGATCGACAGTCATCCCTGAGCTTGTGTGGGCTGAGACTGGGACACAAAACCCAAACAGAGCCAAATGAACATCATATCTTAGCTCTTGATTTGTCCACAATCCTGAAAACTAGGAAGCGCTGAAAACGAAGTTTGATTAAGTTTGTCTACAGATTTAGTCTAAATCAACCAAGGACAATCTAGAATCCTTCTTGACACATGTATTGTAAAGATGCATTAATTTGCGCTATAGAAAATTAATTCACTTAACTGAAAAATACTTGCCTTAATCAGCAGGAAATAGTATGCAATCATTAGCTTTCTAAGATTAGTACACAGCTATGTGTATATGTACATTGGAACTGGTTGCTCTTGCCAAGGACCCTGGATTCCAGTTTCCAACACCGACGCGGTGGCTCATAACCCTCTGTAACTCCAGTTCTAGGGGATATGTTGCCAACTTCTGGCATCTTTAGGTACCGGGCATCTGTTCTGCCTGAATGCATGTATGTACACCCTATGTGTACAGTGCCCATGGAGACCAGAAAATGGAATCAGATTCCCTGGAACAGGAGCTACAAATGGCTGTGAGCTGCCAATCAGGTGCTGGGAATCGAACTCACATCCTC